AGAAAAATTGTTATATTACTAATTACTAATAATTATTTTTAGTAGTAGTATTAATATTAATATATAAAAATGATCATTCTAATAATTAATCCTAATAACTATTATACTATAAAACAAATTATGATATAATAATTATTATGAATAATATTTTATATAATAATTGTATTGATATGATTTTAATGATATTTTCTATAATAACATTTTCTATAATAACAATAAGGGCTAATATTATATTAATAATAATAATAATAATAATAATAATAATAATTGCCTGACCCTTTCCATTTGGAAAAACTAAGCATATACTGTAATCAACAGCAGCTGAAACCCAAACTGAAACTGAATTTAAATGCAGTCTGTGAGTCCTGATGAGGAGAGAGTTCAGAAAACCTGTCTGGAAACCATCATTATTTTTCCAATTCCGGTTCGTTACAGTCTCTCTCTGTAGTTCTGTGAATAATTAATGCTTCATACTGTGAATAGTTTCCATAGATCACATTACAAAATCATTCTGAAAGACTTCATACGAAACCAGTTTAAAAATAAACTTAGAAATGCGATAGTAAAATGAGCCGACTGCCAGCATTCAGATTAATGTTTGATGGAATAATCATCAACATTCTGCGTGTCGTAAGACCTGCTGCGATCACAGATTGACTGAAGCTGACATCTGTACCTTTCCAAACAGCTCTCGTAGTTGAAGGTAGCCTTGAAGCCGTAGATGGAGAAGGTGACGATGCTGGCGAACACAGACGTGCCGCTGTTGATGAGCGAGATGATGACCGCCTGCTTCTCGAAGTCGTTGTTGTGATGGTTGTAACTGGAGAAAGCTATCAAAGAGCCGAAGCCCAGACCCAGAGAGAAGAAGATCTGAGTGGCAGCGTTGATCCACGTCTGAGGATTCGCTAGCTGCTCCAGCTGCACACACACACACACACACACACACACACACACACACACTTGTTTGTTTCTGTGACTTGTGGGAACTTTCCATAGACTTCTATTGCTTTTATACTGACCAAATGATATTTTCTATCCACTAACCCTAAACCTACCTCTTACAGAAAACCTGTTTGCATTCTTACACTTTCAGATAAACATAATTTACAATGATATTTATTTTTAATAATTTTTTCCCTCGTGGGGACCACAGGCCGGACCCCACAATGTTAAAAATTACAGGTTTTTACTATCCTTGTGGGGACATTTGGTCCCCTCAATGTAGCATAAACAAGTTCACACTCTCTCACACACACACACACACACACACACACACACACACACACACACACACACACACACACACACACAAGGGGGAGGTGTTGCTTCAATTTATAACAATGTTTTCAGTATTTCTCAGAGGGCGGGCTTCAAGTATAACTCGTTTGAAGTAATGGTGCTTCATATAACATTGTACAGAGAAACAAGTGTTAATGATAAACCCCCTGTGTCGTTTGTACTGGCTACTGTATACAGACCACCAGGGCACCGTACAGACTTTATTAAAGAATGTGCTGATTTTATATCCGAGTTAGTGCTGGCTGCAGATAAAGTTTTAATTGTTGGTGATTTTAATATCCATGTTGATAATGAAAAAGATGCATTGGGGTCAGCATTCATAGACATTCTGAACTCTATTGGGGTTAGACAACACGTCTCAGGACCTACTCACTGTCGAAATCATACTCTAGATTTAATACTGTCACATGGAATTGATGTTGATGGTGTTAAAATTATGCAGCCAAGCGATGATATCTCAGATCATTATTTAGTCTTGTGCAAATGTCATATAGCTAAAACTGTAAATTCTACTCCTTGTTACAAGTATGGTAGAACCATCACTTCTACCACAAAAGACTGCTTTGTAAGTAATCTTCCTGATTTATCCCAATTCCTTAGCATATCCAAAAACAACTTGATGATGTAACAGAAACTATGGACTCTCTCTTTTCTAGCATTTTAGATACAGTTGCTCCTTTACGCTTAAGGAAGATTAAGGAAAACAGTCTGACACCGTGGTGTAATGAGCACACTCGCACCCTAAAGAGAGCAGCCCGGAAAATGTTCCTGGAAAAGCAGGTTTCTCACTTTAGGTGTGAACATGTACTTGACTCCGTTCCAGGCTCCATGAAGAGTGACGCCGCGGATCAGATAGATGATCAGAACCACGTACGGAAACGTAGCTGTGAAATAAACCACCTGAGGAGGAAAGTCGAGAGTCAAAGCTGCAGTTTGGCTTATTCTTTCATCTGCTGACACTGAAGAGCAGAAGGCAAACAGGAGTCGAAGAGAAGATAACGGTTTGGAATTGCATTAACTAGTGTTAACAAGAATACATTTGGATTTTAATCATACATTAGTAAATGTTAAAAATTAACATGAAATAAGATTAATAAATGCAGTAGAAGTTTTGTTCATTCTTAGTTCATGTTAACTAAGCAGTTAAGTAATGAACCTTATTGTAAAGTGTTACCAAATATTCTAATGTTTTCTATTCTATTCTATTTTATTCTATTTATATAGCACATTTAAAAACAACAGACGTTGGCCAAAGTGCTTTACAAATCAAGCATAACACATACAATCTAAAATTATCAAACTAATTAATAAAAATTAATTACAGTCAAATGCAAGAGAAAAGAGAAGTTTTTAAATGAGATTTAAAAACATCAAGAGTGGCACAAGATCTAACACGGAGTGGTAAACTATTGCATAAACGAGGAGCTGCAACAGAAAAGGCCCCGTCGCCTTTTGATGTTTTCATTTATTTTGGCAGAAAGTGGTAATATGGAAGAAAAAGAGTATTTTGTAATTGTATGAAGCTCCCTGTTAATTCTTCAGAAAAATGATATTAAAAGGAAGAGTGTATAAGGCAGTGTATCTCACCACGCCGGTGGATTTGACGCCTCTGACGATGAAGAGGTAGACGATGATCCAGGCCAGCAGCAGACAAAGCGCCTGACCCATGTGAAGGCCTCCGTTCTCATCGATGGACGACGAGATGTTCAGTGTCTCGCGGTAGAAGAAGTACTGAGTGGGTGAAGCCACCTCACACTCCTCCAGATACCCGGTGCGGTTCGCATTGACGGGACACTCGGCCCACGGCAGCACCGACTGCAGAAACATACGATAAAACATGAACTCAAGACTTCACTGATGCACCAGTGAGGGGAACAATTCCTGGAAACATGCTTCACATCGAGACCGAAGCAGTCCAACTACAATCAAGCAACTGTTTTGAGAACGCAGCTACACTACAAGCTACTCAGACAAACTAGTAGCATTTCTGCTTTTAGTTACTTTCTCCCCAACACTGGACAGATATTTAGAATATTTAGCCATTTTCGGCATAGCAAAGAAACAAAGCAGATTTAGTTTGGTTTATACATCAAAAAGTGCTGCTCTATTGATTTTTTGTGTAATGTTTTTAAGTAAAAAATATCTAAGCATTCCTAGATTGATAGACATTTATTCACAATGCAAAATTACATAAGTCGTCTTGTTTTTTGAGAAGCTGATCAAAATTAAGTGATTGTTTATGCTTAAAGAAAAATAGGAATAAAAATGCCAATATGGTCAGAAACATGAGCGTAATTCAAAGGGAAAAGTTTATTTTTCTGACTTCAAATGACAGATATTTTTGTTTTGTTTTAAACATGATAACGTAATTTAATATTTTTTCTTGTTTTAAGCATAAACAGTCACTTAATGTTAATAAATCTCAGAAAACAAGACTTCTTATAATTTCTATATAATTTTGTATTTCAAGTAAATATATCTTGACTTAAGAATATTTAGATATTTGTACTGGGAAAACAAAACAAGTAAATAATTTTTTGCTAAATTGTCAATGAAAATGGCACATTTTCTGTTTTCTATGGAAGCTTGTTTCTACCACAGAATTTAAAAAAATAAATAAAAAAGTAATTGCAACTATCTCACAAATGAAGATTTTTTTTCTTGCAATTCTGAGTTTGTCTCACAATTTTTACTTTATTTTCTCTAAATTCTTTTTTTTTTTTTTTTCAGAATTTAGTCAAAATGTTTGAAAACTATGGACGCTTGTTTCCACCACAAAATTAAAAATAAAAAGGCAATTGCTAATTTATATCTCGCAATTCTTTTCTCAAAATTGTCAAATTTTTTAAATAAAAAGTCACCTTTTACCTTCTTACTTCCTAATTTTTATCCTGTGGTGGAAACAAGCGTCCAAATTTTTCAAATATTTTTGACTAAATTCTGAGAAAATATTCCGTAAACTACATGTTCACTTAATTGTATGCACATCCTACTTGCTATTATTAAATTATACTTTACAACTGCACAAACATGTACACGTGTAACATATATTTTGACTGATTTGATGATGTTTTCAGCCATCAGTAATACTGAAATCCACATTTTGAATGCAATCTCCAAAATTGGCACATAAAAGACCGGTTTTTAAACATTATTCACTGAAATTTGGTATTAGAGAAACATGTACCACGCAAGGTGTTGTGGGCAATATTAGCCTTTAGAGTGTGTGTCGATCTGCACTTCCAATTTTAATCTTTAGTACACCATCCGGGAATCTTTGGCATTCTCTTTTCAACATACTATGATTTATTGAAAGCAAATTACATTTTTCAGTTAACGGACCTGAAATGAATGGAAGAGATACCAGAAGCTCCAGGCGTTGATGACGTTGTAGTACAGACAGAGGTACATGGAGGTCACAACACTGGCAATACCTGTACAGCACAGATGATTATATAATGATGATATCAGCTCATTTTATAGCATGAAACGACCTGTAAATGAAGGGTGACTGACCCAGTCCACCCAGATACGGGCTGATGGCCGTCCATGCGCCGATGCTGCCCAGACGCATCTTCTGACCGATGGCCAGCTCCATACAGAAGAGAGGAATCCCCTCCAGAATCAGCATCAGCAGATACGGGATCAGAAAACCACCTGGACAACCACAAAAAACACATCCATCAACCATAACTAAAACCTTTAATATATGAGCAACATCACACTCATAGCACACTGTCATTACCTACGGCAATCGGCTGAATCACAGCATGCCGATATACAGCCATATCACACTGCTATGAGTGTGATATTGCATTTATACAGCAGTTCGACAGCATGAGTGTATAGCCTAAATCCATTAGAAACCACAATGGAGTGTCTTTAAATACCCTCTTTTGTGTGGAACTACTTCCTTCCACCACGGATTCAAATCTCAGTTTGACATTAGTTTTATTATATTATGTAGAGTAGAGTATTATGAGAGAGAGATAGACTGAGCGAGTATGATTACCTGCATCAGATACAGCATTCATTCTTCAGCTCAAGCTCATATTCACAATAAAACATTAGTTTGAATGTCCGCAGAGGAAAGCGATATCTTTGTCATACTATCCTTTCATCTGTTAAAGGTGATTTCTGATGACAGCGCTGCTCATTGCATTTGTTGGCTGCGTCTTACAAGCTGTTGTTTAAAGTAAAAATAACTTCCTTGTTTACACTTTTTATGCGTGTTTGTAGTTATAATCTAATCCTCATCCACCGCGCAATGTGTTGTGGGCAATATTAGCCTTTAGGGTGCGCATCGATCTGCACTTCGAATTTTAATCTTTAGTACACCATCCGGGAATCTTTGGCACTCTGGCATTCTCTTTTCAACATACTATGATTTGGGACATGCTCATTCTATTTTCGAATACTATTTAGGAAGGATAGTATGTGAACTGGGACGCAGCACCTGTCTCTTTCAATATAAAAGTCTTTACTGCTCACTCACTCATAAAAACAGTGTCTTCTCGCCATCTAATGGTGGAAAAATGTAACTAAAATCACCATCATGAACACATACAGTTTCTCAATACTAAATACTATTATTAAATACTAATATTATTTATTGAATAATAACATTTAATAAACAACAGGCATCATAAAAGTGTCAAAAGTAGCCTACAAAGACAGTGCTCTGATAACAGATTAATGAGACCAAAGACTGCCCATTAGATTTACCCAAAACGAATTATCTCTCATGTTTAACCACTATTGTGACACCAGAGCCAGCGGTAAATTCCAGAAGGTCTGGCCGAGGTGAGGCGCTCTCTCTGCGGGTTCATGAGCGCTGAACGACCGCTGACGCCCTGGAGCTTACGTCTCCGAAAACGTTGAAACAAATTTTCAAACAGGCATTATCTTTACATTGCATTTGTTGGCTGCGTCTTACAAGCTGTTGTTTAAAGTAAAAATAACTTCCTTGTTTACACTTTTTATGCGTGTTTGTAGTTATAATCTAATCCTCATCCACCGCGCAATGTGTTGTGGGCAATATTAGCCTTTAGGGTGCGCATCGATCTGCACTTCGAATTTTAATCTTTAGTACACCATCCGGGAATCTTTGGCACTCTGGCATTCTCTTTTCAACATACTATGATTTGGGACATGCTCATTCTATTTTCGAATACTATTTAGGAAGGATAGTATGTGAACTGGGACGCAGCACCGGTCTCTTTCAATATAAAAGTCTTTACTGCTGACTCACTCATAAAAACAGTGTCTTCTCGCCATCTAATGGTGGAAAAATGTAACTAAAATCACCATCATGAACACATACAGTTTCTCAATACTAAATACTATTATTAAATACTAATATTATTTATTGAATAATAACATTTAATAAACAACAGGCATCATAAAAGTGTCAAAAGTAGCCTACAAAGACAGTGCTCTGATAACAGATTAATGAGACCAAAGACTGCCCATTAGATTTACCCAAAACGAATTATCTCTCATGTTTAACCACTATTGTGACACCAGAGCCAGCGGTAAATTCCAGAAGGTCTGGCCGAGGTGAGGCGCTCTCTCTGCGGGTTCATGAGCGCTGAACGACCGCTGACGCCCTGGAGCTTACGTCTCCGAAAACGTTGAAACAAATTTTCAAACAGGCATTATCTTTAGAAACAAACCGCATGTTTGAAGTCTAATTAACTACATTCATGCCTAAAAACTCTTAAAACTACATTCCGTGACACAAAAACAGCATCATTTATAACATAATAGTGGATTTGGGCATCTGCCATGACACTTATCGCAAGCGGAGTGATACAAACGGTGAAACGGTTTCTGTGGCGCTATTGGGTGAATATCTCATGGGTGGAAAGACTTCTCAGCCAATCAGATTCGAGGACCAGAAAGACTTTCCATGATTTTTTTTCCCCTGTGCCTTTTCCAGCCATTTGTAATTTTTGGATAAAGAAAGTTTTCAAATGCTTTTGACTAATTTCTGAGAAAATATTTTGTAAAATGCACGTTCACTTAATTTTATGTGTCCCATTTGATATTATTAAATTCTACTTCACAAATGTATAACATATTTTGACAGTAATTATTTCATAAGGAAAGTTTATAGAGATATGGAGCATATGTCCATGAAATTAATAGATTTAAATGATCAAAATGATCATTTAAATTGTAAAGAGGCTCCATAGAAAATGTGGCTTCTTGCTTTTGGTGGAAATCCAATTATTGATATTATTCATGAAATTACTATTTTAAAACTTAATTTTATGGGTTTTTCATGATTTTGCAGCCTGATCTCATAGATGTTATTTTAATATCTCATAGATATGATTAAAAAAAATATGCAATCACTACACATGCATTTATGTCATGCATTACTAAGTTTGTATTGACTGAATGCATGTAATTTCATAACTGTTCAGTTATTTGCATACAGTGTACATATGAAAGTGCTTGAGCAGCTCTGACTCTAATCCTCAGCAAACCGGATTATTGTGGATAAAGAGGGAGTTTAGGAATAGTTGACGGCATCATGCAAACCAGGAGCTGTGACTGACTGCGCATAACATCCCCTCCTTTACAATTGTACTTTGATCACTTTGCTAAATGCCGAACAAAAGGTTTGTGATTGTTATTCAGGCGATGCTCCACAAAGATGCACTGAATGCATAACCACAGACATTTAGCAGATGCATGAAACGCAGGGAAGTAGAACAAATAATATGTGCAGGGAATCTGGATGAGACGCTCAGGGAAGTTGAAGGACGATAAAACTTTGTGTGACGCTGCTGTGACTTTCTGTACAAACATCTCACGCTGTTTCTTGAGTTCAGTCCAGACACGTTTGTCTTCGCTGTGCTTGTTCACTTTTACACTCGTCATTTGCACTTGAAGAGTCGGAAGAATTAAGAGAATATTTAAGAACTACTAACACTTTTCTTTTAGCAAGTTCACTGAAAGTGAACTGAAAAGACTTGCATGTTCACACACACAGGTTTGTTTTCATGGTTTATGGGACTCTCCATAGGCGTAATGGTTTTTATACTGTACAGACCGTATATTCTATTGTCCTACACCAACCCTACCCCTAAACCTACCCCTCACAGGAGACTTTGTGCTATTTCAGATTTTCAATACACTCCATTCTGTGTGATTTATAAGCCTTTTGAATTACGGGGACACTGAAAATATCCTCATAAATCACCTTCTCGTTGTAATACCTGTCATACCCATGTTATTATACAAATTTGTGTCCTCATAAACATGCATGCACGCACACACACACACACACACCATGATTTATGATTTAATAACTTAAAATTACATAAAAAATTAGTACGGCTATTAATTAATACAAATAAACAACACAAATTGTGAAAACACACAAAATTATTATTATTATTTTTACTAAATTAATTATTTCTACTTAATCAAACTCTTAGTTAATAAAAATAAAGTAACAACTGTAATAATAATAATTAGGAATTATTACTATAATTAATTATTCCTACCTGATCTGACTGTTAAGAAAATGACAAACTAAAATGAGGAAAATAAAAGCAATTTCCAACAGTAAATAAATAAAGTAACAAACACACTGTAAAAATTAAATATTGGCATTTAATACTTTACTTATTTCTGCTCTGACTCTTTAAAATAAAATGACATTAAAATGAGGAAAATAGCAGTAATTTAAAACATCCATTAAATAATAAAAAATAAAGTAACCACATTGTAAAAAAGAAAATATTGGCATTTGTTACTATAATTAATTATTTCTACCTGATCTGACTCTTTAAAAACTTTTATTAATTTAATGTATTCAGCTAGATTCAGTCCTATTAAATTCAAAATTCTTCAATAAACTGAATGATGAAGTATATATTTTTGCAAATTTTGCAAAGTCTAATTATGAAGTAGAGTTGTTTTATATATGTTTGAGTATTAAAAGAAAGAAAATCTATTATTTTTTTTGATAATTTTTGGGAAGTCTTTATCACCAAGAATTGTTTTGTTGTTGTTGCAAAGTCTTGCAAATATCACATTATATTTTTGTCCTGTTCTGCTGCTGTTGTTATCAAGCTCTCTATCAAAGTCTAGCTCAAAAGAACAAACATGCAGATGCAAGCATGAGGAGATGTGAAGTACAAGACGAATCCTCTCACCTCCTCCATGCATTTGGCAGAGATACGGAAAACGCCAGACGTTCCCGAGTCCCACAGCATAAGACACACACGCCAGGACAAACTGCATGGGACTGTCCCAGGATGGACGGGCTTCCTTACTCATGATGATGATGATGGTAATGTCCTTCAACTCGATCTGAAGGGACAAACGATCAGTCTGCCGTCTGAAACACACAAATCCCAGGAGAGTCTGGGAATATTTCAAAGTCCAGTAAGCTGAACTTGCAGAGTGAAGTGGGAGTTTTCTAATGAAGCCGGAGGGAGGGACGCAGAGTTTAACTGGCTGAATTTTATGTAATTCAGGTGAATGTTTGATTGAGTCGCTGGTTAATAGTGTTTTATCTCCTCAGACAGTCATTATCACATCTTTTATTGCTGAGTTCGTGAAAGAGTCAAGAACATACAGTAAAGATTGAGTCTATGATTCAGTAATAAAACAAGCCGTGGGAGAAATCTACTACAGCACTGCATCACTGTCTCAGCAATGGATGCTCTGCAGTGAATGG